TTTTTTTTTTTTTTGTGTCTGTCACCACTTTTTCTCAGCTCTCACCGAACCGATTTCTTTCAATGATACGTCAAAAGATCACAAATCGTATCTAGTAGAAGACATTACCCTCAAAAATTAAAAAAAATTCTCTCGTTCCCCGTAAATGGGGAAAACCTCCAAAAAAATTACAAATTTAAAAATTGCTAATTTTCGAAATTTTTTCAATTTTTTTTACTTAAAAGTGCCATAACTTTTTCAAAAATGAACATATCAATTTAATTCTTTTTTATACAGATGCAAAATATCATTACCTTTTATTTGGTAAATTTTTTTCATAAATTTAACCCTTAATCTGCCCTCAAGGGGGGATTTAAAACGACAACTTTTTCACAAAAAATTAACTTTTTCAACTTAACTTTTGAAAATGTTCAGGAAAGTCTGACACTTTTATATATATTTTAAATTAAAGCTAATGTAATGTTCTTTATTATGCAAAAAAAAAAATTCGGACTTTATTTTATCTTCACGGTGAAAATGGCTACCGAATGCTATTTTTGTGTGAAAATTTTCGATTTTGTATTTTACATTTTTAACTTTATTATGCTATAACTTATTGAAAAGTGTATGGATAAACATAATTTTTTTATGAGAAATAATATTTTTTAATAATCCCTTTTTCATTCGACATACTTTATCTGAATCAGGATATTAATAACGAACTAGCAGATCATGTTGCATTTGGTATAATCCATCAATTTTTTAAAATTAAACACTATCTAAAGATTTGCATCGAAGCGTTTATTTTTATAGTGATTTTAATCACTGTCAGATATCATAATACTTGATCCAACTATGCCACGTCACCACTGTGCCGCGATCCCCCTGTGCTGGGTTTTTTTTATTTATATCTAAATTTATATTTTATATCGTTAATGTTTTATTTAAATAAACAACTACTTTGTTACTTATAAGTTTTATTAAAAAAAATATTACAAAAATTTCACTACATTATTAATAGTGACAGGTAATATAACAATATTTTGAAGTACTAAGAATTATTAATATATAAATTTCTTAGCATAAACACTTTATAAAAACTACGATAAGTAGGATTTAAATTCATATGAAATAAACATGATGGATATTAACTATTTGTAGGCAGTTGTGTTACACGAGGTCAGACGATATCATCAATGTTAATAACATTTATATGTGGTAATACTGTTGTAGAATATCTCTTTTTTGTATCCCTTTTACAAATATGTCTATAAATTTTAATGAATTTAAAATTCTTGGTAGTTCTTCAATTTCTACG